ATAACGCCATGTCGTAACACACACAAAGATCATTGTGACCACCATTACTAATTACTGCTCCTCTAACAATATCTATGACACACATAACGCCATGTCGTAACACAAAGATCATTGTGACCACCATTACTAATTACTGCTCCTCTAACAATATCTATGACACACATAACGCCATGTCGTAACACAAAGATCATTGGTGACCAATATTACTAATTACTGCTCCTCTAACAATATCTATGACACACATAACGCCATGTCGTAACACAAAGATCATTGTGACCACCATTACTAATTACTGCTCCTCTAACAATATCTATGACACACATAACACAAAGATCATTGTGACCACCATTACTAATCCTTAGCAAGAACAGTGTTTTACGGATCGAACCATTAGTTCAGTCAAAGTTAATGGGGAACGAGATCAAATAAGGACACAAGTCTATATTTTCTTAACTGCAGCTGTTCAATATTTTGGCCTAACCGTACTGCATGCTTTGTTCACTAGACTAGTCTAACATAAAAAGGAAAATTGTATGACCATATTGAATATAGTAGTCAACTATGATAACGATTTTTCAATTATTCTTGTAACGTTTATATATGTTCATAAGGACATTACAGCTACAAATACATGCTTGCCATCGTTTGCTTATTTTCTTTATGCATTAATGGAATACTTTCTTGAGGTTACGTAGCCAGTTTCCGTTATATGTGAACTATATAAATGATAAATAAAAACCAAAACCAAAACTTTTTTCTCTTAGCTCAAGCAGTACGGTTTAATTTAAAAGTTGGTGATAAGCATTTACATTGATTATTACCCCATTATAAATAGATAGATTGGAATAAGTTTTTCCAAGTGTTTCAGTAACTGCATTTATCACTAGGTAAAATCAGTTCATGAATTCAAATCTCACAAATCCTGTAGAAAATTGTCTTTGTTTTGTATTAAAGATGTGACATTTAGAAACTTGGGTGACAAAAAGAAATGACTTTATTCACCTGAATGTCTTTTATTTTGTTAAAATAAGGTAATTCTTCCAATCGTGTGGAAAACTAGAAATGAAAATGGACCAGATGGAAATGTTGTCAGCAGATGGCGTGGTATTGTTTAATATGTAAATTGGTGTTTTCATAACTGTATAAATGGGTG